AAATGTTCGTGTATCCTTCTAGTAACTTCACTTTTATATCCAGAGACACGGCATTGTCTTGAACCAAGAATACTCTTCCAGAGAGACAGTAGTGTCTTGCACCAAGTACTAGTATGAAATGGAGATTCCAGAGAAGAAGCTTCCTATAGTTATTAACGTTACAAGGCCGATATGTACATTGTAATCCGAGGAGCAGCTGAGGATTATAACAAACGAATCCGTTATTTGCGTATCGACCGTGTGTCGTTTAAGAAACAAACCACGTACCTCTTAATTCTATAGAAAAATCCCAACATGTAGTTGTTATGGAACAGTTATAACGCCGCCGCCTGCCATTTATAGTTATTTATGTGTACCAATTGCGTGTTACAGATTTTAAGGCCCGGAGGTAAAAATTGATGAATGCTGCTTGATTGGCGTTAGGATCTAGTAAGGCTCGTGGTGTATACAAGATTTCACGAAAAAATTATCTGTTTATAATAAAAAATCGATTTGGAAAAACGGTCCATTGCTCCTAGCATTTTCTTTCCATCTTTCTTCTCATGGTAGGCATGGCATTTGTTGATATTTTGACATTTCTTGAATATTGCTGTCATCATTTAATTTGTTTGGTGTATTTCATTGCTGCTTTCTTTGAATAGTCTCATAGAATTGATGAAAATGACTTCAAATTTACCCAAGAATATCATAAAAAATACAGACAAGGCTTCGAATGATTTATATTCGAAGAAATCCAGACTCGTGCATATACAACAAGGATTATTGTACTTTCAGGAATTGGTATGTAATTTTATGTAATAGCAACTGTTGCCAAGGTATTATGAAGCAGTTATGAACAAGTGGAAAACAAAAAATCTTTCTTGGTGTTGAAAAATAATAAAAAACTAGAATTATTGTAAAAAATAGTTATATAGTGTGTATAAAAATTATTGTGTAAAAACTTTGACATCCAATTATTGTTACTGACATACTATTGTTTCATTGTCTATAGTAAATTTTCACGAAAATATTCCGTTACGAGGAAAATACAGAAATTATTTTTTCATAAAATCGCGATTATATGAGTAGATTGTGGAAAGGTAATTCTGTACTGAATCATAATTTTCCAAGAAGAATCATAATTTGTAGTTGAAATACCAACAATTGGATGTACTTCCTGTCAAACCGGATGGGTTATATTTGGGCTGAAACTAACGAAATTATACACTCATGAAATGAAATCTATGTACCAAATTTGAAACATCCATTCAAAAGAGCTACGAAGATACAGGGGTTTAATTTGGTTCCGGGTCACCCGGAATAGATGCCTCATCTACTACTATAAAGTGGGCGATAACGATTCTGGATTATCGATTATAGATAGGCATAATGTATCGATATTAACATATTATCGATATTATCGATAATTACCGCTTACTATCGATATATCGATAAAAACTATATAGCGTGTCCGTAAAGTATGGAATAAATTCATTTTTAGCCAAACTATTCATTTCTGAGGAATTTCCTGACACAGGTCGAATTAGATTTTCAATTTGCCACATTTATACAGGGTGATGCACGTTTGAGTTATGACGACCGCGACAATTCTTTCAAATAGAACACCCAAAAAAGGCAATTCGTCTCGTGGGTGATGCTTCGCTCACAAACTCACTCACTTCTCTGGAACACCGTAGAAAAGTTGGCGATCTGGCTCTATTTTATAGATATTTTCATGGACGATGCTCTTCTGAAATATCAACGATCGTACCTCCCTTGGCAGTCCCCGCGAGATAACCCGTCGAGTTGAGGCTTCGCACCCCTTCGTGGTCACTTTGGAGACCTGCAGAACATCTCTTTCCAAAGACTTGTTCATCCAACGAACAGCGAGGCTCTGGAACACATTGCCAAAGGAGGTGTTCGCCGAGGCATATAACCTCCAGAAATTCAAGAACACCAATTCCTACCTTATTTCCCTTGGTTCTCACGATGTTCTCTAAACATTACAGGATATCTCTTTTCGTGGAAACCAGAACATGAAAAAAATAAAATAAATCCATACTATCAATTTCTGAGAAATCTCCTGTATCAGGTAGATTCATATTTTCAATTTGCCTTATTTTTGTGAGGATACATTGAATATACAGGTGATTCACGTTTGAGTTATGACATCCGTGACAGTTTTTTCAAATATAACACCTCATGGAAAACTGAAATTGAATATATATCACATACATGGTTTGTTTACAGTGCATCCGTTGCTATATTTGAAAAATACATATCTATGAGCTGTATAATGACAGCTTATTCAGAAAATATAACTATGTCACTGGATTCAACGTGGAAGGATGTATAAGAGGCAGTTTCTACTTCTCCTCTTCACTAGACGAGTGCGAAAATTTGAATCTCAAAAACGAAGTGTGCTATGAAAATTTTTGTTGGCGGAATTGTGAGTTTCACAAAAAAGTAAGCAACGTCCGCGGAATCGACGAATCTCACGAATCTCTATCTTCAAAAATAGGTGAGATATCCTCTGAAGACATCGGTATTGGGACAGCCTATATACGCGAAGGGCTATAGATACTTTCGGGGGTCAACACATTTTTGTATCGATGAATATACGTTAATTGTATGAACATTCTATTGTCATGCATGATATCATCATCATTTTCAAATTGTTACCAAACATTCTGTGGTTTCTCAACCTCAAAATCTCAAATTTTCGGATATATTTTTTGGTGTTTATACATAGCAAAATATAAACTCCACGTTTTGAATCCATTATTTATAATTTGTATATATATAATGTTCATTACTAAGTATTATGAAATTTCTTGCTTGATAGTAATGACGATTTATTATAATTATTATTGGCATTGTATTGCCATCAAATTACAAATTCCAAAGTCGATGTATTATCCGAACGTTTCTTTATTTTATATTCTGATACTTTTGGTGGCCTTCATTCCCAAATATTGCACATTCACATAAGAATTATGTAAGCATGCACCCTGTTAATAATCTGAGATTATATTTGACACCTTGTAATATATTGAACAATGTGAATGTATGACGGAACAAATCTATTTGGGTCCTCGTTTTTTTTGTCTGACATATACTGTGCTAAAATAAGACAACACATTTTCCGATATATTGAGAACTTGGAAATGATGGGTTTGTTGTCTCACCTACAGTTGGAGTCTCCATTTTGTTATATCTTCAAATATAACTGTTCGAATTTCATAACATGAAATGGGGAAAGAATCAAGGGGCTATATTTATGCTACTTAACTTTAGACATTTCGGGAACGGATAAACATAATAAAGAAGAACAACATAAAGAAAAAACATATACAGCGTTGTCTCACGTCCAACGTCTCTCCCTCTTCAGGTTTTCAGAAACATTGTTTCGAACAGTGCTGTGCTTGAAATTAAAATGGGTCGAGTTTTTGTGAAATGATATCAGGAATTTGTTTTCAAAAAATCTAACTTGATTTAATTGTTCCCCATGCTTTGGAACAGGATTTATTTTGTTCATTTTGTGCTTCGTGAGAATAGTGAAATCAAAACAACTGCAAATTCTGGATCGTTCAATGGATCTGGTTGAAGGAAAATCATGATTTGAATGGAAGAAAAAATAGATATACTTTTTTTTGTTGAACTCACCGATTCCGAGTGAATGATTTTTGTAGAAGTTCCAAGCTCATCAAGGTCAGAGTTTATACAAGTATACTTCTCATATACATTCCAATTTTCATTTCAATACTGAACATATTGGTAAGTTATTTTTATACATCAATTTTAGAGGATTTTCATTTTTCATGCTCTCTTTTTGGATGTTCAACATATACAATTCAATGTTGTTTTCTGTTGAATATTCAGAATGATAGTATGTGCATATCATTATATGAGGGAGGATGCAAATTCTCTACTTCAGAAGATTTTGTTTTCAAATTCTTATCGTGTTTGTTCAATAGATGTAATTCAATGATCGTCGTGGCATCTAGCCGGGAAAGTAGTTGTTTTCTGATGAATAAACCAAGAAAGAATTGATATTTTCATCACATAGATATTGCGAATTCTCAATCCATTTTTTTATGTTCATAATTATATCTGAGACTATTCCTTTTGAAAATTCTCGATTTTCAACACTCTATATCTCCCGCTAGACCCCAAATGTGATGAATCGATGAATTCCGCTCTTCAGAAAATTCAATAATATACAGGATGTTCCATTTGAAAAGACGAAGTCACTAATAGTCCCGAAATAACTGAGAAAGTGGCAACATTGGCGATATAATTTTCAAATCCGCCATGTTCGAAAATCACCCATTACATATATTCAGAAAAATCTAACTCACTGTTACCGAGATATTCACTTGTTTCCATACATCTGATCAACCCTGTATGAATAGCTCTTAGTGGGTTTACTTGAACACTGATGGAAACTAACAAAATCTGAGTGGTGATTCTGTTTAGCTGAAAAACAATCGACTTGGTCTCTGGACAAATTCAATTGATCTTCCGTAAACATTTCTTTGTAATCTGCTAAAGCTATCAATGAAAATATCCATTTTTCAAAAAACATTCTTCCTTCATTTCGGAAACGAAGTATCTTGATATGCATTTTTTTCCCTATTTTACGGAACATTAGAAGTTTCTAATCATAATCGAGAGAGTTATTTCTATTATACTTAATGAATTGTTCAACAATTATATAACTCTTATATGAACTAACAATGGTCAGGGTCAGATTACAAAATACTATTACAACAATAATTATGCTTGTAATCGATCAAATATGAAACAGTAGTTGGTCTATATGATTCACAATTTGGTTCCTTATAAGCGGAACTAACATAATAATGCAAAAGAGTCACGTTTGCATATAAGACGAAAATACGTGTTTAGGAAACTGTCAATTTCACATTTCTTTTTGCACCATTGAAATTCATACAGGGAATCTGAAACTATATAAACGACTTTCATATGATGAATAATCCAGTTGATAGTGCAGCATTCTTTTAGCAACACCCATACATTTTTAACTAAACATGTTCTCCTTTAAGGTTAGTATTATTATTTTTTGCCTTCAGATGGAAAATTTGAACGAATATCGTATATAGCTATGAATATTTCATTATGGTCGAACGATCTTTAAGAAACTCTTATTCGTATGAAATTTGATGCAAAAATGGTGATTGATTATAAAACAAGTCGAACAAAAAATTGTGAAAGAAAAAATGTTTTGCTCCAAACAAAAATATACAGGCAAATTTACGGTGGATGGCATATTAGACGTTTCTGAAGAACGCAACGTAGGATAATACTGAAAATTTGGATCCTTGGATAATTAGTTGTATTTTATCGACCTTAAATATTTTCAACACTGCGACGTTACCGCTTATATTGAAAAGTATCAACATCTTTGATTTTTTGAATGGGACACCCTATATATTATTTCATTTTAATATTTTTCCAAAAGAGCTGATTTCACCGATCTACTACACTTGGGGTCTAGCGGGAAAGATAACAAAGATATAGGGTATGAAAAATCGAGATTTTTCAATTTGAAGAATTTCTTGTGTCGAAACTATTCATAATTAGTCAAAACGGTTTTTATGTCCCTAACTTAATTCTTCATTCACTATATTGATTGATATCTAATTGATAGTGTATAAAAAGTTGAGATATGGACATGGAAACCGTTTTGAACAATTATGAATAATTTCGACACGATAAAATCATATAGTTGAAAAATCTCGATTTTTCACACCCTATATCTCTGTAATTGTCACTGCTAGACCCCAAGTGTTATAGGTCAATGAAATCAGCATTTCTGGGAAAATATGAAAATTGAGTAATATACAGGGTGTCCCTTTTGAAAAATCGAAGTTGTTGCTACTTTTCAATATAAGCGGCAACGTCGCAGTGCTGAGAATATTTCAGGTCAATAGAGCACAACTGATTATCCAAGGCATCAAATTTTCAGAATAATATCAAGTAACGTTCTCCATAAACGTCTAATGTGCCTTCCACCTTGAATCAGCCTGTATATCCTATTTCATTTCATTATTTATTACATTCACTCACTTCTTATGCAGCCTGTACATTTCTATACAGGGTGATTCAAAATTCGATGTAAAGATTTTGGGGACGTCTTGCTGAAATCATAATAAGACTTTTTCTCCTTATTAATATATGTTCCTTTGAATGCGAGTTAGGAAGAAAAGAATATCACCTGAAATTGTAACTGAAATAACGAATCAAATCTTCTGAAAATTTGATTGCCTCTGTTTTTGTAGACAATTCATCTCCTTCTTGCTTACAAATTTACGTGAACCCAGTTTTGGAGGAGTTAGAGGGAAGGCTACACTTTTATTAGAGTGTATTAAAGGACAGATGTTTTTATAAAAAAACTATTATTTTGATCCCAACAATACGTCCTTAAAATATTTACATCGAATTTTGTATCACCCTGTATAATACAAAGAAAATTTGCAGGTTTATTGATTGATGACTGCAATGGACTAGTGAACTGATTTTGTTTATCATTTTTCATTCTTTATCATTACGCTATGACACTTTCAATTTTATCATTAAAGAAAAAAGAAATTTGAATACTTTTGATGTTAAAAATCACCTTTTCTTCAAATCAGTTACAACACAGTGGAATAATTGTTGAATGTGAAAAATTCATTGATAGTTCTGTAGCCCATTTTCAATTCATTTGAAATCACTTCGATGAAATGAAGCGTTAATGCAAAGTATTGACATTGTTCAAACTCCCAACCAACTCCCAGATATTTTCTGTAGTCTTCGTCTGAACACACTGTACACTTCAACCAGGTGAAGTTATTTCAATATCAACTATGTATCATGATGCAAAAACATCACCTGGTTGATCTACGGCAACAAATTTGTTTGTTAAAAGTTCAGATATACCTACCAATAACCGTTAATCTTCCAGATTGTAGCAGTTGTTCTTCTGGCCACTACATTACAAACACAGAGCAGTGTCGTTCATCAACAACTACCAGTACCTGTCGCCCCAGCACTCAGATACACCCTAGTAGCACCTCAGAATGTAAGACCATTCGCAGCTCAAGTCAGCACATTCACCAAAGGTTTGAACATCTACGCAGCACCATATGCTGCTGGTGTACTAGGAGGACCTGCCATCATACCCAGGAACTTTTTACCTTCTGCATCTGTACCTGCCCCATTACCTGCTGCTTATCCTGCAGGTGCTATAGCAGCTCCCTACTATCCTGGACAAGTACCAGTTCAAGCTCCGTCCCCTTACTATCCTGGAACAGTTCCTGCTGTAGCCGCTTCGCCATATTATCCTGAACAAGCTCCTGCCTTCGCTTCGTATCCTTATATTCCTGGTCAAGTTCCTGCTCTAGCATCGTCTCCTTACCTTCCTGCACCTGTTGCTCCTGCACCTATTGCTGGGGTAGCTCCTGCTCATCTGCTTCCTGCTCCGTTCGCTCGGTCGGTACATGCAGTGTCTCCTGCTGTCGGTCCTGCGGTTGCGCCTCATTTGTCAGCTGCTCCATTGTTAGGATGAACATATTAGTCATTAGATAGTTTTGTAATAATTCATATTTTTCTATTTGTATATAGACTGAAATACATTGTTATTTTTAAGACGTATTATTTATTCATCTGAAAAATAGCTCCTAGAGGGTATGGTTCACACATTAATGATCATTTCCACAATATATTCTCTAATTATCCCCTACCAGGGTGAATATGACTAAGTGAGTATGAAATCCTCATTCTCCTCTTGTTTCATCATATTTTCTTTGGAAAAATCGAGCTAAAGCATTGACAGATTTGAATTTTATGAAGTTTGAACTGATTGGTTTCCATTGTATGGTATTTTACAATCATATTTCTCCTTCAGTCAATGTGTATATAGCCCCTAATACACTCAGTTCCAAAAAAAGTGACGCACTTGATATTTGACCTATCTTCTTGAAAAAAAAAATAGGCCGATTTTTTTATTTGTTGGTAGGTAATGCATTTGTCTTGAAAAAAATAAAGAGGTGGACATTTTTTCAAAGCCTTCTGGATGGTGGTGGAATAACTCGAATCATGATTTATTCTTGATTTTTGACTCCCCCTGTGTGTTGATTGAGTAATGGTATACAAAGTGCTTACACCCTATACGAAAGAAGCTTCTTTCGCGAGCATTTTGTTTTTTATTCATTGATTTATCTCTAAAATTTTCCGAATAACAGCTTTTTTGCTGAATCCTTGCAGATTACCAACTTTCTGAATTTATCGAGAAACAATTTTCAAATGAAATAAACTGATAACAATAATTTTAAAAAACATTTTTATTGGACACAAAATTATAAATTCGGATGACTGCTTAATACAGTGTATTGCCTCCTCTAGCAACTCTAAGAACTTCTAATCTACGAGGCATACTGGAAATTAAGTTGCTTATCGTTTCCATTGGATACGATCCCACTCTTCCACTAATGCATCTGCCATTTCTGCGAGACTCTCCGGAGACCTCTCGCGAGAACGTACCCTTCTCCCTAATTCACCCTACAAATGTTCTATAGGATTCATATCGGGGCTTCTCGCAGGCCATTGTAATGTGGTAATACCAGTAGCTTCTAAGAAGTTTCGCACTATTGCTGCGGTGTGTGGTCAGGCATTATCCTGCATCAATATAAAATTATTGCCCACTATCTGCATAAGGTGAGACATACTGCTCTAAAATGTAAATTTGGGCATTCATCGACTGCCTCACCGGAAAAACATGAAGGGGTGTCTTTCCATTCATTGAAATCCCTCCCCACACCATAACGGACCCACCATTAAAACTTTCGCATTCTGTTATCGAATTTTGATTAAACCGTTCACCACTTCTTCTCCACACTCTTTTTCTTCCATCCACCATGTTAATTCAAAACCTTGACTCATCCGTAAACAAGACATTCGACCATTCAGGAATATTCCACTGTCCATAATTTTCAAAAAATTTCTTCTAGCAGCACGATGTTCGGGCAATAATTTGGGACCTTTTGCAGGTCTCCTAGCTTTCAAATTAGCTTCTTTTAGACTTGTTCAGGATTTATTTGAGTCATTTTATGTAATATAAGTCAATAAAACAAGTCACTTAATTAATGACACATCGAGAAATGATCAAATATGGAGGCATACAACAAATTAGTTGCTATGGCAACGGCAATTGTTTTTTAAAAGACAATGTGATCCTACCAGAGCACAACCCAATCAATTTTGAGTACTCTATTTCTTCAACAAATTTAATTTATGGGATATGCGTAAGGTATCAGCAAAAAAGCTGTAATTCGGAAAATTTTAGGGATAAATCAATGAATAAAAAAACAAAATGCTCGTAGAAGAAGCCCCTTTCGTATAGGGTGTGAGCACTTTGTGTATCATTACTCAATTAACACACAGGGTGAGTCAAAAATCAAGAATAAATCATGGTTCGACTTATTCCACCACCAACAAGGAGGCATCGTTCACCTCTTTATTTTTCTTCAAAGACAAATGCATTACCCACCAACAAATTGAAAAGAAATGAAAATCGGCCTAGTATTTTTTTCTTTCAAGAAGATAGGTCGAATATCAAGTGTGTCCCTTATTTGGAACTGAGTATATATCTTTCAGTTTCATCTGTTTTGTGAATATATTGAGGCTGATAATAGATTGATTTTCATCTCATCAAACTATTGATTTGTTTCTATTCGATATATTGATATTGTAATATGTGATAAGGGATATTCTCCTTCTATATGAAATCTATAATCACTGCTTTCCATCATCCAAATAACCCGTTGGTTGAGAGTGAGTTTTCTTAAAAAAAATGTTGAAATATCTCACAGAAAATAATTACTTTACTTCCTATAATACCACAGAATAGCAAATGAAATCTTTTAAATATCGGAATATTGGAATTGTACCTAACAAATCTAAAAAAGATGAAAGAATGTACAATAACTATTTTTCAACTATCTTATAGAAAAAACCTACTTTCCTGGCCAATACCACAGAATATTGGAATGAATTTGTTATGTATAAAAAAATAATATACCTGATTCTCAGAGGATATATTATCTATAATATTTATTGAAAAACAGTTATCCATTTGTTATTATCAAGAATCAAGTTGTATTGAATTGATGACAGCAAAGTATCTTTAGCACAGAGATATTCTATTATTTGAGCTCGACTAAACATCATGATTTGTTCCTATTCCCTGAATATTGATTCAATGTGTGTAAAGTCCAAATTCTTCACCAATTTCAACTCATTTTCAGTATTTAAATCACAAAAGAGATTTGATTGCATTTTTCATGAACATCAAATTTATTGTTTTCCATTCAATGCATTTCTTCAGTCATATTTCCTCTCCGGTGCATCAATAAAATTACTTATTATAAACAAATAGTATATCGTTGAACAAGTTTAATGATACACTATTTTTTCGAAACTAGTGCGATGATATGTCTTATAAAACGTGTGTAATATAATGTTTTTCTATTTTGCATCCACTTGTGATCTACTCAAAACAATTTCATCAATATGAATATCAAATATCATGAATATATGAAGTAGGTACCTGAACAATGACAAAACATTTGAATATTTATTCTCTAATTTGACAGATGGTAGAGAGGTTATCGAGGACGCATCAGAAAGAAAAATCTTTCTTATAATATGCCCCCAATCCCAATTCATTCTGAATTCGAAAATTAATCGTCCACTATTATCCTAGGTAACTTGTTTACTCGATTCGTTCACACAAAACTTCGTTTTAATCGTGTATGACAGGTTGACGTCACCATTACCATTTACCAATTTTGAAAGAAGAGATTCAGTGTGTCTTAATAGAAGCTGTTTCGATACGCATTATGTGTCATAATGATTTTATTACAGACGCAAAATAGAGAGAAATCCTGACAGAACCTGCACAGCAATTCTTCAGTCAGACCTCTGAGAAGTCCCACTGTATTCTAGTTGTACTTAGTTTCTGACTCAGTAGATATTCTGTTTATGTTGGCGATGGTTTTTCAATAAACTCTATTGCCTGTCTCATTCCTAGCGAGTTGTTCCACCATTCTTGAGATTTGGTTTGCATCCATGATTTGATACTTGTTTTTTATATAGCTTTCGCAATCCCACAAAAGGGTTCTGGGCCATTCAGAGCTTTGTTTGCTCCTGCTCGGGCAAGTGAGTCTGCCTTTTCATTACCCTCGTACCCTGTATGTACTGGTACCCATGCTAGAGTCAGTCTGTTCTGACTGGTTAGTTTATTTAGGGTTTCTGAGCAGTCTCATATACTAGCTTTGAGTTAACTTGCATTCAGTTAACTGCTTTGATGGCCGCCTGGCTATCCGAATAGATTGCAATGGTTTTCCCTTCGAACTCTTTCCTTATCAAATCTTTTACGCAATGATATATTGCAAAAAATTCTGCCTGAAACACCTTCGCGTATTTGCCTAAGCTTAGTGAGATTCTTGTCTTTGGCTTGGCCCCATGAATACCAGCTCCTGACCCTTTCTTGATTTTAGAGCCGTATAGACAGCAATGTCTGCATTGATAGGAGGTCCTTTCTTCGATGCCTCTCTGTCCGTTATACTTATTTTAAAATTTTTTCGAAGTTATATTTTGGAATTATGTCATCTGTTGGCATTCCCGCATGATGGGATCGCTTTCCAACTCTTCATATAGCTTCCTGGAGTTTCTACCGTGCGTGTTGCTTATGGGTGCTTGACTCCTGGACAATCTACTCACGACTGCTCTGGCTTCGCCTTGAATGTATATTTGTAGTGGTGATAAGTTCAAGAGGACCTCTAAAGTGGCTGTTGGTGTTATTCAAGCTGCACCGTATACATAATTCAGTTGATTTGTGAAGTGCAATCAATTTCAGTTTCAACGATGTATCACACTCGATTCCCAGAATACTCATTTGAAGTGAACGTAAAAGGCATTGTCTTAGTTGGATGAACCGACGAACTGACTAATGGATTCGTGCACGAACAACCTGTAATAGTATATTATGTAACAAGTGCTATAAACGTCCTTTTAGTAACGAGTAGTTTAAGCACGAGGGGAGCAGAGCGGAGCGAGTGTTTAATAAACGAGTGTCTTGAAGAGTTTATAAACGCGTTACATACTATGATTTTTCTACAAACTCCGAAAATTACATTAACATACCTGCAATTCCTGCTAACCTACGAATAAATCGAAAGGAATGGGAATCGAGAACATAATACATGCAACTGCAAGCAACTAGCGAGACACGTATAAGTGATGTACAACCAGTAGATGTGTCCAGTCCATTGCTTACTAACCTTTGTTTCACGTTTATTGTCATGTTTATTGCAGAATAAATAAATTGTTCTCAAAGATGGATGCTTCATTTTTACACTTCTTGGAGATATGCAAGTACCAGAACATTCTCTTCGATTTCACTTTCGTCTACTTTTCGCATATATTTTCAATGAAGAATTCTGTTACAAACGCATATTGTTTGAATAATTCTGATACAAAATTCGAAAATAACAGATGACAGTTGATACAATTGACAGGCCAGACATATCTCAAATTACTGGTCAGTACTGTCAGTAGATCCACTGAATCTGCTGAAAATAGGTATGTGTTCCGAAATATAAAATCAAAAATACAGTGCTGTAATTCGGGACACGTTTTCATAGTTTTGATCAGTAGTCAGCAGCAGTTGATCATCTGGTGAAATTTGTCAGTCTGTAGTTTCTCGTTTATCTGGACTAGATATTTAGCCTCCATAGTTTGTACGATTATTGACGATGGCGTGATAGCGATTCAGATTCAGGCTCTAGTGATAAAGAATACTTGGACATTTTTTTGCCATTAATTTCGAATGATGCACGAGATTGAGAATTGAAAGATTTATAGAAAACG